CCCGGGACTCCCAGTGCCACTCCAGCCGGGCTCCCGGCCTTGCCCATGCCCAGCCCTGCCAGTGCCACTCCCAGCCAGCGCCACTGGGTCTCCTCGGCCACCAGCGCCAACGACTCCTTCGAGATACGGCCGGCCTCCAAGCCAGACATGGACACGATTCCTGCCGGGGACCTGCAGGCCCGGGCCCTGGCCAGTCTCCGCGTGAACTCCCGCAACTCCTTCGTGTTCATCCCCAAGAACAAGGCCTCCGGGGCCCCTCCTAGCCCAGGGAGGCAGTCCGTGAGGCTGCCAGAGGGGGAGGTTGTCTGGGCCTCCCAACAGCGTGGAGCCCACCTGGTGCCTGGAGCCGATCGTGCGCCTGTCCGAGGGAGGAGCCCCTTGGGGGTCCAGGAGGGGGCCTGCCCCAGGCCAGCCACAGCCCTAGTGGACCGGGCTGTTAGGTGGCAGAGGCCATCCTCACCACCCCCATCCCTGCCGGCTGCCCCCGAAGCTGAGCCTTCCCAGGGCTTCGGGGTTCCCGGCTTGGCCAAGAATGGCGGGGAGCCTGGAAGGCCAGGGCTGCCCGTCACCTTCATCGACGAGGTGGACTCGGAGGATGAGGTTCCCCAAGAAGCCAAACTGCCCTGCTCGGGGGCCAGCGTGCCTCCCCAGTACCACCCATCAGAGCTGCACCGAGGTGGCAACACCTTCACGGTGGTGCCCAAGAGGAAGCCAGGGGCCCTGCAGGCCAACGGGGAGCCTGGGCCACAGGAGGCCGAGGAAGTGGAGGTGGATAGCCTCTCAGAGCCCCTTGCTGTCTCGGGGACCGCACTGAAGAAGCGCTACCCCACCGTGCATGAGATCGAGGTGATTGGCGGCTACCTGGCCTTGCAGAAGTCCTGCCTCACCAAGGCTGGCTCCTCGAGAAAGAAGGTCAGTGGGGGGGGCAGGGTTACCAGACAGGAGGTAAAGGGGTGGATGGGTCCCATATGCCCTGTTCCCAGGACACCTGGCCTGTGTGGGGGACTGCTTTTATGTGGACCATAGGAGAGCTGGGGCTGAATGGCCATGCAAACTCCAGGAGGGAGTGAGCTGGGAGATCCCTGACCTGGACCCCTGTAGAACCCTAATAAACCAGGGGCAGTGGGAACAGCTTGCATACTCTCTACGTTGAAGGGCTGAAGTGTCAGTCCAGCTAGTGCCCGTCTGTTGGTTCTTGAGGCTTTATTTGGAATTGGTTGGGCACGCCTGTCTTACTGAAGGTCCATCTAGGAAAAACGTCCAAGCCTGGTGGCTCCACCTGGCCACCAGGTAAGAGAGGGGTAGCCCTGGCATGAATGATCTGGACTCCTGGTCTATTCAGGTAGCAGGTGGCAGGACGGAAGTGGGAAGGAAGGGTCAGGAGGCCTGTGATTTGGGTGTGGTTGGATCCGACCTCACTGTCAGCCTAGGGGCACAGCACCCTAGAAGGCACGCCAGCCTGGAGCTCAGCAGAACCTGTTCTTGTGAGAGTGTTTCTGAGCTCCTTGTGTGTGCCAGGCTTAGTTTGAGTGGGTGTGATGCTGGGGAAAGATGAGGATGCCTCTCCTTGTTGGTGAGGGGGGCTTAGGGCTGAGAGACCCGGGTGCAGGGCCAGGAGCCTCATCCCACAGCCCTGCTCTGCTTGGTGGCCTGAAACCCTCTGGGCAGGAGACTGCGTTCCTCAGATTCTTCCTGGTCATTCTATCACCTGTGTCTGGCCCTGAGGCAAATTCCGCGGACAGGTCCTCGTGACCCCTTCAGCAGGTGGGATAGATGCGCTTTCCTTAGAACCCATGGCACAGTGGAGCTGGTGGGCCTCTCCTTTAGTTGCTGTGTCCAGGGCCCCTGAGGCCACCTCTGCCCCATCCTCAGTTTCCCTGGGGCCATGGGGGCAGTGATGTGCCTGCCAGACATGCCATCTCCTCCTCTATTTGTTTCCTTTTGACTTCCTGCCTTGGCTTGGCCTTGGCATCGCCTCTCCTCCTGGTGTCATCCTCCCCTCCTTTCCTGGTGAGGGCATCTGCACTCCTGCCAGCTCCCACTGCTGGGTCAGGCACCCACGCCTGGCTTCCGCAGTGCCCCCTGCCTGGCCGGACCTTGCCTTTGTGGCCATGGGCCGTGACTTCCCCCTCTGGTCCCTACCCTTCCCATCCCAGGCATGACCCACCCAGTAGCCTAGCCGTGGCCACCAGCCCCACCCCACCCCATACTGGGAACCCTGGTGTCTGCCCCTCCCTCTTCTGCTTTCTGATCCTTGACCCCAGCTCCACTGGGAGGCCTTCCTTCTCCTACTCATCTGAGAACTGGAGTTGATAACAGTTCCCTGCTCTGTAGATGAGGTCATGGAGCTCATAGGGCGTTTCCTGTTTCTAGAGCCGCTGTGCAAGGCCTGGCTTCCTGGGACTGCAAGGGTATAGCCTAGAGTTGGTCATCCCACCCCCAGCTGGGCACAGAGCTGTGGGGGTCACTCGTGGGTGGGTTGGTGTGAGAAGGGCCAGGCAGGGGCCCGAGGGCCAGCAGGGCAGGAAGAAGTGATGGGAGGAAGCAGACCTGGGCTCGGGGTGGAGAGGGGCTCGATCAGCCTGGCCTCTTCTCTGTGCCATCCTGAGGGGGTCGTGGGTCCAGATGGATGACACCTGCCATGGCCAAGTGGCCTGGCTAGGGCCCTGCCAGAGCAGCACGACCTGCTGGCAGTGACTTCCTGCCTGAGCATGCACCAGCTGCCCAGCCCTCCAGAGCAGCCTGCCAGTCTTGGGCTGCTCCTTTTGTCTTTTCTGTCTGAGGCCCCTGGGTGCTCCTCCTGCTGCCCCTCCAGGCCCTGGTCCACTGGGTCTCGTCCTCACCACTCCAGCCAGCCTGTGGTTTGATCGCTGCCCTGCCCCCCCATGGATGTAGTGGGCTGAAGGCCCAAAGGGCCTTGGGGCTAACTGCTCACTTTGACCCCCACATGGCTGGCTGACCCGGGGCAGTGGAGGGAGGTGTTGGTGCCTTTTCCAGGGATAAGTTCTGTGGGCCTCTGCAGGGGGGCGGTCTGGGCAGCAGGGTTACGGGAGCCTGCCCCTGGCTGGCACCTCACTGGAGGGTGTTGGGCCCTTGTGGGGCCTCAGGGGGCTACAGCTTTGCCCTGGGCGGCAGGGGCACCCTGCCTGCCTGTGCACCCGGGAGGCCTGCCTGGCGGGCACATGTCCCCACTTAGTTATCTCTGCAGAATCACAGATGCTCTATCACTGTCGCCCTGGATGGCCAAGCTGGGGCTGGCTGCTGCGTGGTGTTGTGGCCTCGCTCCCTCTCACCCCTGCCCGGCCCCCAGGCTGGTTGATAGGTGGGACTGTTCCTCAACTCTCCACACCTGCCTCCCATGGGATTGACTTGTGGGCCTCCCCTTTGTGAGGTGCCACCCAGCCAGGCTCCTGCCTGTCTGGTGGCTCCTTTCCCTCCGCTTTGCTCTCCTCATCTCCTTTCCTGCTGGTCCTTTGCCCAGCCCCAGCCTGTCAGTGTCCCTAGGGGTCAATCCTCAACACTTGTGCCATCTGCCCTCACCTCACCCTCCATGACCACCATCCCAACACCCTGACTTGCTGGTATGGCCTCCACCCCCTTGTAGTGTGGAGCCCCACGCTCTCCTGCTGTGTGGGGCAGGATGCCAGGTGCCTGGCTGCATCTGCTCTCAGCTGCCCTTCCGGCCCTGCCCAACTCTTCCTGCAAGTGCCCCCCTAAGTGGTCTTTTTAGAGCCCAGAGAGCTTTTAGGCAGGTCTAGACTCTGCTCTGCTCAGCTTCCCCTTTTGCAGAGGATCAGCCCTGGGCTGGGGGTGCACTTGACTTGGGGTCCCCAACCTTGGCGGTGGTGGGGCAGTCAGAGCTGGGTGGGGGATGGGAGCCAGCAGGTGTGTGTGGGGAGCAAGGGGTGGGGCCCTCATCCCAGCTGGGGCTGGTTGAGCCCAGTCAGCCCAGAGTCCAGGGTGGCTGTGTATGGGTGGGCGGGGCAAGGGGAACAAAGGACCTGTGAGAGCCTGGAGATGGGCGGGAGGTGGGTGAGCCAGGACCCACCTGCCGGCTGTGCTCCGTGCTGTGGGCAAAGTCCCCAGAGACAGGTGACTAGGTGTGTGCATGTGACAGCCCCACACTCCCCTTGTGCCTGCTGGGTGTCTGGAGGGTGGCCCCCCCAGCAGCATGAGTCACGGGGCATCCTGTGACCTGAAGACATGCACCCACAGAGGGGGAGACTGGAGTGGAGGTGGGAAGTGACCGGAACAGGGCCTGTGAGCACTGCCCCGCCCCCACCTGGCCAGGCTGTGCCTGCGTGTGCCCAGCCCCCTCAGTCTCTGCTAGGAGCTAGTCATGTGGACTAATGAGGGCATGCTAATCCGGCCTGGCCCTGGCAGCTCGCCTTCCTGTGTCTTCAGCAGTGGGGGCTGGGCCTAGAGGGCTCAGGGTCTTCAGAGACAATGCATGTACTGAGAGGAGAATGGGAGCCCTGTTTACTGTGGGGCCCTGGGGCAGGGGGACCCCTGGGCTAGCAGCTCCATCCTGCCTTGGGCTCCTCCTGAGGATCTGTCCCCAAGTCCCAGAGGGCCAGTCTTGGAGGCTAGGCAACCGTCCCCAAGCTGACTGGGAGTAGGTGGGCACCTGTGGACTCTGGTGATCACCCCCTGTGCCAGGCTTCTGCCCTTGGCTCCCATGGCAGGGGCAGAGCAGGGTGAGAGACAGTGCGCCTCCCAGTGACAGGAACGGACATCTCACTCCTGGTTTTGCCTGACCCCGACCCCGTCTGGGTAGGTGGCTGGGGCGGGGACAACGGGACCAGGCCTGGACTTGCCCAGCCAGTGTCTGTGTGTGAGCTGTGCTGAAGTGTGAAGCCCAGAAGCTTGGTAGGCAGGTGGGGTGCCCAGCTTAGTAGGCTCCGTGTGCACATGTGGCCGAGGGAGGAGAGGGTGGAGTGGCCTCGGGGTGTGTCCCCTTGTTTGTGGATGCTGGTGGGTCCTGCATGTGTCCTCTGTCTGAGGCCAGGGTCTGGGTCCCTCTGTTGCCCTGGGCTGCCAGCCCAGCCCTCTTATGAGGCTCCTCCCTGTCCTGCTGTCCCTGGGCCCCACAAGCTCTCTGCCTGGGAGCCTGGCTCCTGCCTCCGGCTCCTTCCAGGGGAGGAGGAGGAACCTGAGCTGGCTGCTGGTGTCCTGTGCCTAGGAGTTTAATATTTCGAGCTCCAGCAGGGCTGCCTCCATCTGCTGCGGGCGGGCCGAGTATTCATTACCGACCGCTGGGCCTGGCCGACCCTGCTGAGCAGGCCTGGAGGCGTGCAGCTCAGATGTGAATTCTGGAGCCTGCGGAGTGGGCAGGGTGGACAAGGGCTGGACAGGCAGTGCAGGTGGGAGGAGAGGATCACTGAGCCTGCACTCGGTGCAGCTTCAGACTGGCATTGACTTAGTCTGTAAAATGGGGTAACAGCACCTGGTGCTGCTTTCCTGGTGCTGGCATGTGGCAGTCACCTGGCTTTGGCACCTCATGCAGGCCCTGGGGACCAGGCCTTGGGTGGGCCAAGCCCTTGTCCAGCAGTGGTGGCCCATGCCGAGTTGGATGGGCAGGACCATCCAGGTGTACCTCAAGCTGGGACATGAACTTGGCTCTGGAGAGAGGTCCCAGCAACAACCGGGACTTCTGGGAGCTGAGGAGGTGGGGCCCCCAAGGAGGTGAGGCCCCCAGAGCTGCCTAACCTGGACTTCTACCTGGCACTAGCAAGTGGGAGCAGGTGTGGCTAGCACTCTTCAGGCAGCTCTCTGACCCTTAAAGCTGCCTTAGAGGCTTCTGGCGACCCTGAGGTTGCTGGCTGGGGTCTGGTCCCTTGTTGGAGGGGGTCACTTGGGGTGATGTGACCCTGGGCCTGGGGTGTAGGTCTTTGGACACAGTGGCCATGGGCAGCTGTAGGCAGCCAGACCCAGCTCTTCTGGGGGCCTGCAGGGCCCAGGTGGAGGTGTCTTCTCTGATGAAAAGTAGCCCCCATCTCTCAAAGCCTCTGAAGGGCTCATGGCATGCTCTGCTGCCCGCTCAGGTCTGACAGCCCTCACTGTGCCCCTGGGGGCTCACAGTGCCATACTTGGTCCAGTTGGAGGACCCTAGTGGCTGGGCATCGCGGTGGCCGGCAGTAGGCCCTGGCTGATGTGCCTTCTGCCCCTAGATGAAGATCTCCTTCAATGACAAGAGCCTGCACACCACGTTCGAGTACCCTTCTGAGAGCTCCCTGGTGCAGGAGGCAGAGGCGGAGGCCGAGGGAGCTGGAGAGGAGGAAGAGGAGGAGGAGGAGGAGGGGCCCGGCTTGAATGGGGCCGTGGAGAAGCCCTTTGCACTCTTCCTGCCCCGAGCCACCTTTGTGAACAGCGTGGCGCCTGAGAGCCCTCGCCTGCCAGATGGCAGCTCAGGTGAGTGCCCACCTATCCAGGTGGGCAGCCCAGTGGGTAGTCTGGGCCACACGTCCATGTGTTCACATGTCCTCGCGTGTGCCCCTTGGCCTGCAGGCCTGTCCAGCTACACTCCAAAGCACTCCATGGCCTTCAGCAAGTGGCAGGAGCAGACTTTGGCACAGGCCCCAGGAGAGCTGGAGCCCTCACAGAAGGAGGTCATGGTGAGTGGGGGCGGGGAGGATGCCCAAGCACCAGGTGGAGGCAGGTCTCTAGGCCTGGGTGAGCCCCCCACTGACTGCCTTCCTACCCCCTCAGCTCACCCCTGCCAGTCACAACGACCTTTCGGACTTCCGCAGCGAGCCAGCCCTCTATTTCTGACTCCAGCCCCACCAGGATGGCCAAGCTCCACCCTCATTCTGCACACCCCCTTATGCCCTGCCAGGCTCTGTCCCCCTGTAACCCACCTTCCATTCCTGGGCCTAAGAACCATGCTGGTGCTGGAGGCCTGAGCTGGGGCACTAGGGGCCACACCGTCCCTTGGGGTCTCCCTCTCCAGCTATGGTTTGGGGCAGGGTCCTGCTGGCAGCTGTGCCATGACTGTTGGGTGTGTCCAGGGTGAAGGACTGACTCAGCTGCCTGTCCTCTGTAGGACTACAAGCCTCCCCATGTCGTCGTC